CCCCAAAACCCCAAAACCCCAAAACCCCTTTTTGAGTGGGTAAAATTGTTTTAAATTAGCAAATTCCCGAATTTTCTAAATATTAAAATGGACAAGAAGCATAGAAATCGAAGAGGTAGGACTTCCATCAGCTTCATGGCTAATCCTTTTAGACAGAAATAAAACAGTATCATTTTCTAAAGCAATGTCGTACTTGTTAAGACATGGAGCCCATAAAGAAGGTTTGACTATTAGTGATGATGGATACGTCTTCCTCGCAGAATTAATGGAACACAAATCCATCAAATCTAAGCACCCATCTTTGCAAGATGTTCTTCGTGTAGTCAACTCGAATGATAAGAAAAGATTTGAGATTAAAACAGACCCTCCTTCAGAAGAAGTTACACTTGAGAATTGTTACATTAGAGCAGCTCAGGGGCACACCATCTCCGGAATCGAAGAAGAGAAATTACTAGAGAAAATAGTTTTTCCCTACAATTATCCATCAATCCTTCATGGAACATATGAAAAAGTCCTTGCTCTGATCCAAGAAGGTGGTCTCTCGAAAATGGAGAGAAACCATATCCATTTTGCCAAAGGATACGCTGGTGATAAGAAAGTCATTAGTGGAATGAGGCAAAGTTGCGAAATCTTCATTGAAGTAAACCTTCCAAAGATGGTCAAAGATGACATATCGGTCTATGAGTCCTCTAACGGAGTCATTCTCACTTCAGGGATTGACGGGATGCTTCCTCCTAAATACTTTAGAAAAATCTTGAACAAGAACAAAGAGTTGATTTACTCTGCTCCATTTGACTACATTGTTGTCTTTGATTTTGAGTGAACCTGTGATGACAACAAGGACACAAAGTTCAATGTCCAGGAGATCATTGAGTTCCCAGCTGTAATCATTGATGTCAAAAACAAGTGTTTCCTTAAAGGTTTTCAAACCTATGTGAAACCATCTGAACATCCTGTTTTGAGTGAGTTCTGCACAGAACTCACTGGCATCACTCAAGAACAGGTGGATGCAGGAGTTTCAATAGAAACTGCTGTTGCCATGTTCCATAATTTCCTTGCCAGGAACAATGTCCTGGGCAGTGAATTCATTCTCATGAGCTGCGGTGACTTTGATGGAAAAGCATTGAAGAAGGAAGCTGAGTATAAAGACTTCTTTGTACCATCTTACCTCAAGGAATGGATTAACATCAAGAAGGCATTCCCACTTCATCTGTATAAGGAAGAATTCAAACAAGAGACTGTCATAAATGTGAGAACTACCAAAGGAGTTGTGAGAGGAATGCCAGACATGCTAGAGGCTTGAAGCCTCGAGCTCCTTGGCAGACATCATTCAGGAATTGATGATAGTGTAAACATTGCTAGATGTGCACTTGAAGCAATTCACAATGGACATACTTTTACACACAATTACATTGATGGTACAAAATACGAAACAGGGTTTGATAAAACAGATACTTTTAAGGAAACTTTAGCAGAGCTTGAATCTCAAGAAGCTGCGAAAGAGATTGACATAGAGGATCATTTGCTCATGATGCAAGAATACACAGATAATAATGAGTAATTTTCAATCTCTTAAAGTAGAATTGGGGTTTTGGGGTTTTGGGGTTTTGGGG